AAGGGGATATCACCATCAACCCCACAGAAATACAAACTACCATCAGAGAATACTATAAACACCTCTACACAAATGAACTAGAAAACCTAGAAGAAATTGATAATTTCCTGGACACTTAAACTCTCCCAAGACTAAACCAGGAAGAAGTTGAATCCCTGAATAGACCAATAGCAGGCTCTGAAATTGAGGCAATAATTAATAGCCTACCAACCAAAAAAAGTCCAGGACCAGACAGATTCACAGCTGAATTCTACCAGAGGTACAAGGAGGAGCTGGTACCATTCCTTCTGAAATTATTGCAATCAATAGAAAAAGAGGGTATCCTCCCTAACTCATTTTACGAGGCCAACATCATCCTGATACCAAAGCCTGACAGAGATACAACAAAAAAAGAGAATTTTAGACCAATATCCCTGATGAGCATCAATGCAAAAATCCTCAATAAAATACTGGCAAACCGAATCCAGCAGCACATCAAAAAGCTTATCCACCATGATCAAGTGGGCTTCATCCCTGGGATTCAAGGCTGGTTCAACATATGCAAATCAATAAATGTAATCCAGCATATAAACAGAACAAAGACAAAAACCACATGATTATCTCAATAGATGCAGAAAAGGCCTTTGACAAAATTCAGCAGCCCTTCATGCTAAAACTCTCAATAAATTCAGTATTGATGGAATGTATGTCAAAATAATAAGAGCTATTTATGACAAACCCACAGCCAATATCATATTGAATGGGCAAAAACTGGAAGCATTCCCTTTGAAAACTGGCACAAGACAGGGACGCCCTCTCTCACCACTCCTATTCAACATAGTGTTGGAAGTTCTGGCTAGGGCAATCGGGCAAGAGAGAGAAATCAAGGGTATTCAGTTAGGAAAAGAGGAAGTCAAATTGTCCCTGTTTGCAGATGACATGATTGTATATTTAGAAAACCCCATTGTCTCAGCCCAAAATCTCCTTAAGCTGATAAACAACTTCAGCAAAGTCTCAGGATACAAAATCAATGTGCAAAAATCAAAAGCATTCTTACACACTAGTAACAGACAAAAAGAGAGCCAAATCATGAATGAACTTCCATTCACAATAGCTTCAAAGAGAATAAAATACCTAGGAATCCAACTTACAAGGGATGTAAAGAACCTCTTCAAGGAGAACTACAAACCACTGCTCAGTGAAATAAAAGAGGACACAAACAAATGGAAGAACATTCCATGCTCATGGATAGGAAGAATCAATATTGTGAAAATGGCCATACTGCCCAAGGTAATTTATAGATTCAATGCCATCCCCATTAAGCTACCAATGACTTTCTTCACAGAATTGGAAAAAACTGCTTTAAAGTTCATATGGAACCAAAAAAGACCCCGCATTGCCAAGACAATCCTAAGGCAAAAGAACAAAGCTGGAGGCATCATGCTACCTGACTTCAAAGTATACTACAAGGCTACAGTAACCAAAAGAGCATGGTACTGGTACCAAAACAGAGATATAGACCAATGGAACAGAACAGAGCCCTCAGAAATAATACCACATATCTACAGCCATCTGATCTTTGACAAACCTGACAAAAACAAGAAATGGGGAAAGGATTCCCTATTTAATAAATGGTGCTGGGATAATTGGCTAGCCATAAGTAGAAAGCTGAAACTGGATCCTTTCCTTACTCCTTATACGAAAATTAATTCAAGATGAATTAGAGACTTAAATGTTAGACTTAAAACCATAAAAACCCTAGAAGAAAACCTAGGTAATACCATTCAAGACATAGGCATGGGCAAGGACTTCATGTCTAAAACACCAAAAGCAACAGCAACAAAAGCCAAAATTGACAAATGGGATCTAATTAAACTAAAGAGCTTCTGCACAGCAAAAGAAACTGCCATCAGCGTGAACAGGCAACCTACAGAATGGGAGAAAATTTTTGCAATCTCATCTGACAAAGGGCTAATATCCAGAACCTATAAAGAACTCAATCAAATTTACAAGAAAGAAACAACCCCATCGAAAAATGGGCAAAGGATATGAACAGACACTTCTCAAAAGAAGACATTCATACAGCCAACAGACACATGAAAAAATGCTCATCATCACTCGCCATCAGAGAAATGCAAATCAAAACCACAATGAGATACCATCTCACACCAGTTAGAATGGCAGTCATTAAAAAATCAGGAAACAACAGGTGCTGGAGAGGATGTGGAGAAATAGGAACAGTTCTACACTGTTGGTGGGACTGTTAACTAGTTCAACCATTGTGGAAAACAGTGTGGCGATTCCTCAAGGAGCTAGAACTAGAAATACCATTTGAGCCAGCCATCCCATTACTGGGGATATACCCAAAGTCATGCTGCTATAAAGACACATGCACACATATGTTTATTGTGGCACTATTCACAATAGCAAAGACTTGGAATCAACCCAAATATCCATCAGTGACAGACTGGATAAAGAAAATGTGGCACATATACACCATGGAATACTATGCAGCCATAAAAAAGGATGAGTTCATGTCCTTTGTAGGGACATGGATGCAGCTGGAAACCATCATTCTCAGCAAACCATCGCAAGAACAGAAAACCAAATACCGCATGTTCTCACTCATAGGTGGGAATTGAACAGTGAGATCACTTGGACACAGGAAGGGGAATATCACACACTGGGGCCTATTGTGGGGAGTGGGGAGGGATAGCATTAGGAGATATACCTAATGTAAATGACGAGTTAATGGGTGCAGCACATCAACATGTCACATGTATACATATGTAACCAGCACATTGTACACATTTACCCTAGAACTTAAAGTATAATAAAAAAAAAAAGAATTACATGCAAATGTTCATAGAATCTTTACTCATAGTAACCCCAAATTGTAAATAATCGGATTTATTAACAGAAAAATATATAAACAGTACTATTACCATATAATGGAATACAGCTGCACAAGGAAGGAACCGCTAGTGCATGCAGCAACATTGATAAATCTTAAGATTGTGCTGAGCAAAAGAAGCCAGGCACAAGAGGGTAGAGCTGTATTTTATCCTATTTATATAAAATTCTAGGAAAGACATCTAGTCTAGAGGGATAGAAAGAAAGTAGACCATTCATTGCATAAGGCTGGGGGCAGTGGTGTGTGAGGATCCACTGGTTAGAGGAATAAGGGAATTTTTTTATTATGATGGAATGTTCCATATATAAATGGTGGTGATCTTTACAGAACTGTACAAGTTTTTAGAACCCATCAAAATATACTAAAAATTTGTCTACTTTGCATAAAGTATACCTCTATACAGTTAACTTTTAAAATAATAAAAGTGAGTTTAGGGTCCCCTGTACGTTATGAGACCCAGCAGATTCTCAATTTACTAAATGGCTTATTGACGTCACTAGAGTGTTCATTCCCTTTCTTCCCATATGGCTGTGACCTTGGAAAGTCAGTTCTCGTTTAATATGTCTCAGTCTCCTCATCACCATAATGATGGTGATTACCTACAATCCTTTCTGAAAGAATTTTCTGAGTTAATCTGTGTCCGTTCCTTAATACGTGGCACAGAGTAAGTGAGCAATAGGTAATAATTATCACCATTATGTATTTTACCAGTATTAAAAATCAAAATAAAGGCCTGTGTTCCTTACAAGAGCCTCAAAAAAAGATTGCAACTCATAAAAAGATACATTAGGCCCAAAGGAGATACAGCCATCATGTGATGGAGGTGTGTGAGTTCCTCATAGTATAGTAGCATCAATTTTTCTTTAACTCTCTGATGAGACCGTTTCCAAAAATTTTTAAAGCTGAGTCTTTTATTCTCCTGTCGACTGGCTGACATGACTTAACCCAGTTTGTAAGTGTTGAGTTCCCAATAAATTGCTTTTCCACAAAAAGCTACTGCATGACTTCATGCACCCCCAGCCTTTCTCTCCTGGAAGTTTTAAGAATCCAGAACTAAGCTGGAGTACTGTCAACCTTGGGTATTTTTTGTTACACTCCAGGATAGAAGTTACACACCAGATGTATAAATACTCTAGAGAAAAAGCATTTCAGATATTGAAGGATAGCACACACCCACCCGTTTGCTTTTTTCAGCATATAATGGCCACCCTTGCCCTGAGTTCTGTTTCCCTGCTACACTGGAGGTGATTTCAGTTGTGTCCCATGATGCGTTTTACACAGGAACTGCTTTCTGAGTTATATAGGCAGTAGAATCACATCACAGCAACTTCTAAAATAAAAGAGGATTCAGAGACTGGCAATTGAGTTGGCCCTCATCAGCTGTGGTTTGAATGTGTCCCCCCAAAGTTCATGTGTTGGAAACTTAATTCCTAATGCAACAGTGTTCAGATGTGGAACCTTTAAGGGAGGATTAGGTCATGAGTGCTCTGCCATCATGAATGGATTAATTTCTCTATCACATGAGTGGGTTCATTATCAAGACAGTGACTTTGTTATAAAAGCAGTTCAGGCCTCTCAGGCTCTCTCATGGGCACTGTCTCACATGTGATGCCTTCTGCCATGTTATGATGTAGCAAGAAGTCTCTCACCACATGTGGCCCCTTGATCTTGGATGTTCCAGCCTCTAAATGTGTGTGTGTGTGTGTGTGTGTGTGTGTGTGTGTGTGTGTGTGTGTGTGTGTGTGTGTGTGAATAAGCTTTTATTCTTTATAAGCTACCCAGTTTCTGGTGTTCTGTTAAAACAACACAAAATGGACTAAAACAGCATTCTTCACACGTTAGGGCCTGAAAAAATCACCACCATTATTTCAGGTAGTAAAGGGAACCCTGCCAGTGTGTCGAGTTCATGGGGGCATGACTTGGGCCAGGTCTTGAGAACTCATCTTCTGGGTTAGTGTAGAATTTTAACAAGGATTCTGAGAGGAGACTGAACGCAGTTCATAGAGGCCATTTCATATTCCTAAGGGGAACATTTTTATCAGTAATATGGATATGACTACTGGTGAGGTGAGGTGAAGTTGAGCAGAGTGATGAGACATAGGCAATATTTCATTTGGTAGTATAATTTCTTTTTATATCAAAATTACTGGAACTGGACAAGACAGACAATAGTCACAACGTATAGGAAAACAAATATTGAGGTTTATATATAAGTATGCAACAAAAACCATTAAGTTGCCAACAGTTTAAACTGTCAAACCTTTTTCCCTCACTAATACTTTATATATACATCTTTTTAATGCAGAGTGGGGGACTCAGCCTCTTATTTGTCCATTTGCATCATATGCTTTGGTAACATCCTTGGAAAAAGCAAAATTGAGTGTTCTCATCACCATAAGAGGATGAATAATGTGTGATGCTGGGACTGCAGGCCAAGTGCTTGTCTTCCAGAAGCACCATGTCAGCCACGGGTCCTGGGCAAGATGGTAACTGCTTGGCACGGAGAGCATAAAGATTGATGTCTTCAAACCAACCAACCAGGCAGCCAGCAAAGCCTCAATAGCCAGGATCTAAAGAAGTGGATCAGATTACAGTGTTTGAGCAACTTCCTGAACCCATATCTGGAAAGGGCTCTTGAGGCTCCTGGGATTTCTGGTACCACCTGATTTCTTGGAGACAGTCCAGGACAGGGAAGGATGTGGCATCTAGGTGACCCCTCAGGGGGCTCCATCTTGCAGGTGGTTGTGGTAGTCAGGGACTTGCAGTGGCCTGAGATCATGGCAGGTGCTTCTGCAGGTGGGCTTGTTACACCACTGAAGTTGCTAAATAGTGCTTCTCAGCACTTGCCTTCCCTTCTGTGTTGTCTCCAAGAGCAAAAGTGGCCTCAGTGCCTGAAAGAGAGTAAAAGTGACTGCAGCTGCAGACACGAAGTATGACGTTAGCTCCAGACCACATCCAATTGTACCCTGCATTAAGCTCAGGCATGTCACACCTGGTCCATAGAGGTTGGTTAAACAAAGGAGTCAGCAAATGACATTTCCAGTGAACACACTAGTAATTTTTTTTATATTACTCTATTTTTTTTCTTGAAAGAAATGAATACAAGTTTTTAAATTAAGTCCAGCTTAGCCAGACTCTTCGGCATGTTTTTTCAATCTTTTTGTATTATTTAGCTGGAAATTTGCCCCTTACTACTTTTTCTGCATCCCATGAGTGTTTATAATTTTTTTCATCTTCATTTGTTTTTTTGTTTGTTTGAGACAGGGTCTCGTCTCTTGTCACCCAGGCTGGAGTGCAGTGGTACAATCACAGCTTATTGCAGCCTTGACCTCTTAGGCTCAAGTGATCCTCCCACCTCAGCCTCACGAGCAGCTGGAACCACAGATGTGTGCCACGGTGCCTGGCTCATTTTTGTATTTTTTGTAGAGAGTGGGACTCTCTCTGTTTCCCAGGCTGGTATTGAACTCCTGTGCTCAAGCAATCCTCCTGCCTCAGCCTCCCAACATACTGGGATTACAGGCATGAGCTACCACACCCGGCCTATTTGTCTCCTAAGTATTTTCTATTTTCCCTTGTAATTACATCTTTGACCTGTTTCTTGCTTAAGGACATGCTGTTTTAATTTCCACAAATTTGTGAATATTCCCACTTTTCTTCTGTTACTCACTTCTAACTTGTATTAGAAGAGGTTTTGTATGATATATATATTTTTTCAATTAATTGAGGCTTAATTTGGGTACTAACACATAGTCCATCTGGGAGAATATCCCATGTGCACTTGAGATTAATATGTATTCTGTTATGGTTGGATAGTGTTCTGTATATGCCAGCTCTAATGGCTTATCATGATGTTCAGGTCCTCCTTTATTTATCTTCTGTCTGGTTGTATTATTCATTACTCACAGTAAGGTACTAAAGTCTCCAACTATTATTATACAACTGTATTTCTCCTTTCAATTCTGTCCATTTTTGCTTTATATATTTGGATGGTTTGTTATTAGGTATATAAATGTTTATAATTTTTATATCATCTTGTTCTATTGAATCTTTTTAATATATAATCTCCTTTGTCTCATGTAGATGTCTGATTTAAACTTTATTTTGTGTGATAATATTACTTGCTATCTTTCAGTTACCACTTGCATAAAATATCTTTTTCTATCCTCTCACTTTTAACCAGTTTGTGACTTTGGAGCTAATGTGAGTTTCTCATAGGCAACATAGAGTTGGATCTTGTTTAATCCATTCTGTGAGTCTCTTGATTGGAGGGTTTGATACATTTATATTTAAAGTAGCTACAAATAGGCGGGCGCAGTGGCTCACACCTGTAATCCTAACACTTTGGGAGGCCAAGGCAGGGACTTGAGGTCAGGAGTTCGAGACTAGTCTGGCCAACATGGTGAAACCCCATCTCTACTCAAAGTACAAAAATTAGGCAGGCATGGTGGTGGGCACCTATAATCCCAGCTACTCAGGCTGAGGCAGGAGAATTGCTTGAACCCAGGAGGCAGAGGTTGCGGTGAGCTGAGATTGCACCATTGCATTCCAGCCTGAGCGACAGAGTGAGACTTTATCTCAAAAATAATAATAATAAATAATAAAGTAATTACTAATAAAGAGAAACTTCTATTATTTTGGTATTTGTTCTCTATATACCTTAGAGCTTTTTGTTCCTCATTTTCTGCATTAGTCATCTTTTGGGTTAATTTTTTTGTAGTGAGACATTTAAATTCCCTTCTCATTCCCTTTGTGGACATTCTCTACCTACTTTCTGGTTACCATGGGCATTACAATTACCTTCCTAAACTTATAACAGTCTAATTTATAGAATGTTATAAATTAACATACATACAAAACAGCTTAACAACATACAAAAAACCTTCTCCTATAAAGCTTTATTTCCATGACTTTTCAATAGTTGATATCACAAAATTACATATTTATGCATTTTGTATCTAAAAACACTAGTAATTTTTTTAACATTAGTCTCATAAAAGTCATGTAGAAAACAAAAAGTTACAAACCAAAGTTATAGTAACACTTTTATGATTGTCTGTATATTTCCCTTTTTCAGAGATCTTTATTTCTTCATATGGCTTTGAGTTAACTATGTTTCATTTAAGCCTGAAAGACTCCTTTTAGCATTTCTTGCAAGGAGGCCTATTTGTAATAAATGCTTCTAGCTTTTTTATATACAGTGAAATGTGTACTACAGTCAAGCAAATTAAAAGACCCATCATCTTACATACTCTCTTTTTGTGAGAATAGCACCTAAAATATACTCTGTTAGCAAAAATTCCAAATACATATTATTGACTGTATTCCTCATGCTGTATATTAAATGTCTAGACTTATTCTACATATCTGCAAACTTGATATCCTTTGACTCACCTCCTCTCATTTGCTCCTCACTCCTATTAACCCCCTGGTAACCACCATTTTATTCTCTGTCTCTATTCAACTTTTCTTTTTACATTCTACATATAAGTAAGTGAGATCATGCTGTATTTTTCTTTCTGTATGTGGCTGATATCACTTAGCATAATGTTCTCCAGGTTCGTTCATGTATGGCAATTGACAGCATCATTTTTAAGGCTAATATTCCATTGTATGTATGTGTATACACATCCCGTAGTTTATCCATTTACCCATTGACATTTGGATTGTTTATATTGTGGCTATTGTGAATAATGCTGCATTGAGCATTGGTGTGCAGATATCTCTATGAAGTGCTGATTTAGTGTTCTTGCAGGTATATACCAAGCAGAGGGATTTCTGGGTCAAATGGTAATTCTATTTTTAATTTTTAATGAAACTTCCATACTGTTTTCTGTAATGGCTATCCTAGTTTTCATTCCCACTAACAGTACACAAAAGTTCCCTTTTTTCTATACCCTCACCAACACTAGCTATCTCTTGTCTTTTTTTATTTTAACCATTCTAAGAGGTGTGAGGTGATATCTTATTGGGGTTTTGATTTGCATTTCCCTGATGATTACAGATGTGGAGCACATTTTTGTATCCTTGTTAGCCATTTGTATGTCTTTGGAGAAATGTCTATTCAGGTCCTTTGCCCCGTTTTTAATTGGGTTCTTTATCTTTTCATTTTGAGTTTGCAAGTTCTTTATATATTTTGAATACTAACCCCTTATCAAATGTATGGTTTGCAATATTTTTTTTTAAGTCGGTAGGTTACCTTTTTATTTTGCTGGAGTTTTTTTGTTTTTTGTTTTTTGTTTTCTGTTTTTGTTTGTTTGTTTTGGCTATGCAGAAGCTTGAGCTTATTTTTGCTTTTATAGACTGAGCTTTTGGTGTGATGTCCAAAGAAAAATTTCCAAGGCCATTATCAAGAATCTTTCCCCCATTGTTTTCTTCTGGGACTTTTATGGTTTCAGGTATCCCATTTAGGTCTTTTATCCATTTTGCGTTGAGTTTGTGTATGGTATATGATAAGGGTTTGATTTAATTCTTTTGCATGTGGATATCCAGGTTTCCTGTTACCGTTTATTAAGGAGACTATCCTTTCCCCATTGTTCATTTCTTGGGGACTTTGTTGAAAATTAGTTGACCACATATATTTGGATTTCTTTCTGGGCTCTGTATTTTGTTCCATTGGTCAATGTTTCTGTTTTCATGTGGTTTTGATTGCAATACTTTTGTACAGAATTTGAAATCAGGAAGTATGATGCCTCCAACTTTTTCTTTCTTTGCCAGAATTTTTTTGACTATTCAGGGTCTTTCTAGCTTGCAATCATGTTCAACGTATGTAAATCAATCAATGTGATACATCACAATAACAGAATGAAAGATAAAAACCACATAGTCATCTCCATTGATACAGAAAATGTATCTGACAGAGTCCAACTTACTTTCTTAGTAAAAACTCTCAACAGTTTAGGTATAGAAGAAAAGTTGCTCAACATAATGAAGGCCATTCATGAAAAACCCAGAGCTAACATAATAATCCATGGGAAAAACCTAAAATCTTTTCCACTAAGATCTGGTACAAGGATCTGTTTTTCTTCTCAATTGCTGTGGGCGTCTTTTGTGGTTCCAAATGAATTTTAGAATAGTTTTTACTATGTCTCTGAAAAATTACATTGGAATTTTGGTAAGGATTATGTCAAAACTGTATATTGCTTTGAGTAGTATGGACACTTAGTATTAATTGCTCCAACTTGGTACCCTTTGACTTACCTCCTCTTATTTGCTCCTCACCCCTCAAAACCACCTGGTAACCACCATTTTATTCTCTGACTCTATGTATTCAATTGTTTTTGTTGTTGTTGTTGTTTTTTGTTTTTTTTTTTTAAATTCCACATATAAGCGAGATCATGCTGTATTTTTCTTTCTGTGTGTGGCTTATTTCACTTAGCATAATGTCTTCCAGGTTTATTCATGTATGGCTAATGACAAGATCCTTTTTAAGCCTGAATAACATTCTATTGTATGTATGTGTACCAGGAACATAACACATCTTTCCATTTATTTGGGTGTTCAATTTCTTTTATTAATGTTTTATAGTTTTCAGTGTACAAATCTTTCGCTTTTTGGTTAAATTTATTCCTAAGTATTTTTTTTTCTTTTTTATGTGATTGTGTGTTCTCAAATATTTTTTGGATAGGTCATTAGTGGCATACAAAAATGCAACCCATTTTTGTATGTTGATTTTATATTCTGCAACTTTACTGAATTTGTTTATTCTAACAGTTTTCTGGTGGAATCTTTGGAGTTTTCTTCATATAGGATCATGTTAACTGCAAATAGAAATAATTTTACTTCTGCCTTTCTGACTTATATGCGTTTTATTTATTTTTCTTGCCTGGTTGCTCTTGCTGTTACTTCTAGTACTACTTGAATACAAGTGTTGAGAGTGGGCATCTTTGCCTCATCTTAGAGGAAATCTTTCTTAAATCT